AGAACTAGCATTGACCTGTCAAACACTGGGCTCAGGGCTTTGCTGACATTAAATGACCAAGTCATCACATCTACCCAGCAAGGTTTCTGTTACTCCCATTTTACAGACAAGGATGCGCAGGATCAGAGATGTTAAGAAAGGATGCAGAACTAGCAAGTAATGAAGTCATGCTTTCAAACCTAGATCTTTGTGAATTCAAACTTACCCTCAAGTCGAAGAAAAGACTACTATAAATTGCTGTGACACCAGCTTTAATACTCTTAATTCGCTTTATTGAAAGTTAAGCATTTATCAATATTCTTGCATGCTATACAAATATGTTTATCCTAAATAAACATTATCTAAGAATCACATGGGAAAAGACATGCAAATTGTAGTCCCTCAGATGCCATAATTTTGAAATGACAATTAGTCAGTTTCTCCCATTTTGAGGGGAGAGGGAGAGAGATTGAGCTGGTCCATCTTTAAAAATGTAAAGAAAGCATCCAGCTCAGAGCCACAGACATCATCCCGTGAACAAGTGCATGCCCTGCAGAAGCCCTGGCCTTGTAGTGCCCGCCAGGGACAACTGCAATGACAGTGCTCATTTCAACACCCCAAACCAATGATTTACTTTCTGAACACCTGCGTGCTAACAAATTAAACATTCCCCTGTTCATGTTTAATGAGAAACATTTCTTAGTTGCTGTTTGAAGATAATGTAATTAGGGCCCGAGGCCAAGGCCAGCAAGTGCACAAGAAATGACAATCAAGAATGTTTTAAAGGAAAGTTGCATTGTTAGATTTTCCCCTAGAGCCTCTGCTCTTCTTCTCCGTTAACTTTGAACAGGACACACTGGCTTCCTGCACAGTCTCAGGAAATCAGACCCCATTTAGTGCTGCATACATTCAGTCTTATATTTACTCTGTGAGTTTCCTGAGTCATAGCTCTGTCACCTTCCCCGACTACGCAGTGGCCAAGGGGGATTCACAGGATGGGTCCAGCCTTGTCTCCACCACCTATTAGCCATGGGACCTTGGTAAGCTACTAACCTCCCCAAGTCTCAGTTTTCTCATCTTTAACTGAGGATAATTAATGCCCCATTCTACCTTGGTAAAATTAAAATATACACAGTATTAGATTGAGTCATTTGAAATTGCCATTATTTGACCTGCAAGAATAACAATTGCAGGGGGTTGAGCCCAGTCCTTACCATAGGACCTGGCACAGTGATCATTCAATAAATGATAGCTGCTAATGGGATTATCAGTCCAAGTGGAGCACATTGTAGGTACCCACTAAATCGGTACTGATCACTTTGTGTTGATAATTGACATATGGGCTTATGAAATGGAGGTTATACCATTGTACATTCTCATCATTCATTTGACATCTAATTATTCTTAGGTGACAGGTACTATGCTGGGTAGTAAGAATGCAAATAGAATGGAGAAACGGAACCCCTCAAAGTGAGAGACAGTGGGTCAGGAAAGGCGTGCAATAAAGTATAACAGGATGAGAAAGGTGGCTGTGCTGAAGTATCAGTAAAGGGGGCTACTTAGAGCAAAGCAAGGCTGGGGGTTCAAAGGAAGGAGTTTTAACTAATATTTTTAGATGTTCTCTATGTGCCAGGCACTGTTCTGAGATTTTTCTACAATTGCATTAATTCTATCAATAACCCTTTCAGAAAGATACTGTATTGTACCCTCTATTTTACTAATGAGAATATTGAGGGATAGAAAAGTGAAGGGACTTGTTTAAGACCATACAGTTAGAAAGCAGCAGAACTGGGATTTGAATCCAGGAAATTGACTGCAGAGTCCATGAGATTCACCATTATGGGTTACAATGCAATAGAATGAATAGACTAACTGTCATGGGATGTTTGCTTAGCTCATCATCTATCTCCTTTCCTCCCTCTCAGAAACTCGGTGATCTTATTTCCTAATCAATAGTGTTGCTATTGCACTTAGGGCACTGGGTTGGGTGGATGCAGTAAAGTGGCAAGTGTCTTTTATCCCAGGAGTCCCCAACCCACAGTTTGTGACCTGTTAGGAACTGGGCTGCACAGCAGGAGGTGAGCAGGTGAACAAGCAAAGCTTCCTCATTAATTGCAGCTGTAGCATCACTGCCTCAGATCCACCTAAGATCATCAGGCATTAGATTCTCATAGGAGCACTGGTCCCTGGTGCCAAAAATGTTGAGGTCCACTGTAATCTATCCAACGCCTCCATTCCACTGAGGCCCATTCGCGAAAGACTCATCCAACTAAAACATTAAATTAATGATGAAATGTGGTTAAGATTAAACCTTTCCTTTGAAGAAAGTGGCACCTATTCCCCTCAAGAAACTGCTGGAACCTAGAGTAGGGAAACCTTCTGAATTCCCTGGGTAAGCTGTTGGTGGTGAGGTCTCAATAGCCAAAGGCAGAGGGAATACTCACTTTTCCTTTTCTGTATTTACCTGCTCATCCATACATAAAGGATGAAGAGGAAAAGTTCAATAACAATCTACTCAACAACAGAATTCCTATTATGTATCAGGCATTGAACTTGGTGATACAGATAAAAAAGAAAGATAAAGCCCTCTCAATCTTCTTAAGGGACATACGGTCTAGGGCAAGGGTGCCCCCAGACAACAATTACAGGACTGTGTGGTAAGTACTATAATATGATTGGACACAAGGGGCCATGAGACCAAAGATGAAGGAATATTTGAGCCTATCTAGAAGAGCTAGAGGGGTGGGAGGACAACCAGGAAAGAACTATGCGAAGAGAACCAACAGCTGAGATTTTTAAAAAGAGGGAATGCTCTATGGTGATAGGACAAGTGAAACTAGACATGGAAAATGTGCTTAGGATTTGAACATTTGGCCAAAACAGTCTCAGTAGAAGAGGCGAAAGCGTCTGATTATGGATGGACGTGAGGAAGTAGAGGCTGAAGCTTGGCTGCAAGGGGCTGATGGAAGGTTGATGATGGAGCAAGGCAGGTCCCCGGGACAGACTCTGACACTTAGGGTGACCACCCGACCTGGTTTGTTAGGGGCTGTTTGGATTTTAGCATTGAAATTCCTATATCCTGAAAAATCTCTACTTATGGAGAAGCCCACTAAAAAATTCCTGCAAAGATGACGGGGGCCTTGCAAGTGGCATGTTACTCAATGATGATTAGGGTCAGGAGAATCAGCATTTAAGACAAAGTTTATCACAAATCAGGCACTTAACCTTCTCACTTGTAAAACAAAGAGATGACCAACTAGATACCTGTGGCCAGATGACATTCATTCATTCATTCATTCATTCATTCATTTAAAAGACATTTCGAAGTACTTAATACATCCCCGAGGTACTGTGTAACTCAGTACATTTGCTTAATAAGGTCACTTTTTAAGATTTCATTCCACTGGACCTTAAGGCCACTGGGACCTGCTTTTTCTCATCAGACTCACCTATATTTATCCTGAATTTTCCATTTTGATTTATAATTTGAAAATATTATGCTCATTTTTACAGGGAAAACTTTCCGAAGATCCCAGCATCTCCTTCACCTGTAATTAATTACTCTGAAGTGATTCTTAGAGCACAGGCTGGCTGATAGGTGAAACCTGTGTCGCCTTATGGAGATTCCATGGCCTTCTGTCTGTCTCTTTCTCCTATGCCCATGTGAGTCCAGCTGAAGAGTCTTTCAAGGAAGACCAAGGTTCCTGACCGTACCATACTGACCTTCTGTGATTACTGGGCACCACGAGAACGCACTGGGGTCCACTCAGTCCCAGAAAGCCCTCTCTCATGATTCCTTCCCATCTGCCTTAGCTCTAAGGTATTAATTATCTTGGGCCCTAACAACCTCTCTTTGAATTGTGCAGATGCACCAAACAATGCAAAAGAGAAGGAAGTCTGAATTATGCCTTAAGTGCCCTTTGGTAAGTGGCGCCAATACAATAACAATAGCTGTTCTACACAGAATGTTACACATTCTGCAGCTGACAAGAGCATGTACCAAAGGCTGAATCACTTCCAAAGAAGGAAATGTAGTCTGGTTTCTGCATTTGGAGGGACTAATGATTTCTTGGGAGGCAGAATGATCACAAACTATACAAATGGCGTGACTGCTTTTTGGGATGTGTTACAGTCCTCTGAGAGAGCCATGGTCCTTCTCATCTCAGCATCATAATCCTCTGTGTCCTAATAATATGGGTAAAGATACTCATGCTTTGGTGAATTAAGATTCCTTGCTATATTTACATGTTCTTCCCTTGAGCACTCAGATGCTGGGTTGAATCACTCACTCCATGGAGTATGGGAAGGTAAAATTTGAGCTCTGCTAAGCAGTCTAAGAGATAAAAGTCCACAAAGACAAAAGAGGGAAGGTAGCTTCCAGTGAACTCCTACCCAGAAAAGCCTCTCTCGGACTTTTTACTTACTGTATTCAGTGTCCCAGATTCTTGGGGGACATTTTCCTTAAAGCCCCATTTAGTGAGATATTTCATCCTTTGGCAGGAAACACGGGCACCCATATTAAGTCATTTCAATCTTAGTCATCTTTCTTGCTCTCTGACCCATAAAAAGCACTCAGTTAATATTGAATAGATGAATGGATCGATAAATGAGTGAATGAAACTCAACCTCCTGCCTTCTCTGTCCTCTGAGAAAACCTGCCTCCTGAGACATAAAAAGAAGACATAATGTGGTGTCCTAACCAATAACTTGCCTGCAGACCCCAGTCCTTTGTACTAATGCCATGAAGAGAAGGGGAAAGTGCTCTGTGGAAGCCTCTGTCTGCAGAGAAGGAGGCT